TGTGATCACGTTGAATCAACGTGGAAAACTGATTGGATTTGCAAAAATTCATCAACGTAAGGGAATTTCGTGTTTTTTCCACACAACTTTGAACCTAAATTCCATGACATGGTGACAGTTTTTGTTGATTTCATGTTGAAATATCGTTAATTGACAAGTCAACCAACTTAGTGGCTTTGTGGTTAGAGTGTGAGTTTGATCCCCGGTCGAGTCATACCAAAGACTGTAAAAATGGGACCGGATGCATCTCTGCTTGGCACTCAGCATTAAGGAGATATATTGGGGGTAAGGCCCTGCGATAGACTAGCATCCTGTACTTGTACATTAAGCTGCCTCACGCTACAGAAACAGGAGATAGGCTCCTGCCCTATGAGACGTTCCAGCTTGCACAAGTATAATATGGCTCTGATTTATCAATGAAAACATGCGTGTTGCGTGCGATAGTTTGCTAAATCCCAATAACTTGTGGTGCAAGTAAATCCTAGACTGTCCACGTACGATATTTACACACGGTTGATAAATGAGGCCCCAGGAGCCTTCCCATGTGGGAAGAAAAACTGTTTCCATGTCTTAAAAATAAATAAATATGTGATGATGTTGAATCAACATGGAAAATTGATTAGATTTTCAAAAAGTCATCAATGTAAGGGAATTCCTTCTTTTAACCTACATTTTTTCTGTTGATTTCACGTTGAATTAATTTTAGTTGACAACTCAACCAAATGTAAATCAAAACTAGACATTGAAATGACGTCTGTGCCCAGTGGGTTGAGACAGATACATTTTCCTGTGTTGCAGCTTCCCTACCCTCTGAACAAAAATCAACTGTATGACATCTCTGGGGAATGATAATGGAACTACCAGAGAGACTCTCTTGCACTGGCTCTATGCACACTCACTAGACTCTACCCACACACTCACACATACTACACTGACATTCCAACACACACACACACACACTCACACATGCATATTGACGCCACACACACACTCACACATAGACACACTTTCACACTCTTCACATACGCTGCTGTTACTCTGTTTATTATATATCCTCATTGCCTAGTTACTTTTACCCCTACCCACATGTACAGTGGGGAAAAAAAGTATTTAGTCAGCCACCAATTGTGCAAGTTCTCCCACTTAAAAAGATGAGAGAGGCCTGTAATTTTCATCATAGGTACACTTCAACTATGACAGACAAATTGAGGGAAAAAAATCCAGAAAATCACATTGTAGGATTTTTAATGAATTTATTTGCAAATTATGGTGGAAAATAAGTATTTGGTTACCTACAAACAAGCAAGATTTCTGGCTCTCACAGACCTGTTACTTCTTCTTTAAGAGGCTCCTCTGTCCTCCACTCGTTACCTGTATTAATGGCACCTGTTTGAACTTGTTATCAGTATAAAAGACACCTGTCCACAACCTCAAACAGTCACACTCCAAACTCCACTATGGCCAAGACCAAAGAGCTGTCAAAGGACACCAGAAACATAATTGTAGACCTGCACCAGGCTGGGAAGACTGAATCTGCAATAGGTAAGCAGCTTGGTTTGAAGAAATCAACTGTGGGAGCAATTATTAGGAAATGGAAGACATACAAGACCACTGATAATCTCCCTCGATCTGGGGCTCCACGCAAGATCTCACCCTGTGGGGTCAAAATGATCACAAGAACGGTGAGCAAAAATCCCAGAACCACACGGGGGGACCTAGTGAATGACCTGCAGAGAGCTGGGACCAAAGTAACAAAGCCTACGATCAGTAACACACTACGCCGCCAGGGACTCAAATCCTGCAGTGCCAGACGTGTCCCCCTGCTTAAGCCAGTACATGTCCAGGCCCGTCTGAAGTTTGCTAGAGTGCATTTGGATGATCCAGAAGAGGATTGGGAGAATGTCATATGGTCAGATGAAACCAAAATATAACTTTTTGGTAAAAACTCAACTCGTCGTGTTTGGAGGACAAAGAATGCTGAGTTGCATCCAAAGAACACCATACCTACTGTGAAGCATGGGGGTGGAAACATCATGCTTTGGGGCTGTTTTTCTGCAAAGGGACCAGGACGACTGATCCGTGTAAAGGAAAGAATGAATGGGGCCATGTATCGTGAGATTTTGAGTGAAAACCTCCTTCCATCAGCAAGGGCATTGAAGATGAAATGTGGCTGGGTCTTTCAGCATGACAATGATCCCAAACACACCGCCCGGGCATTGAAGGAGTGGCTTCGTAAGAAGCATTTCAAGGTCCTGGAGTGGCCTAGCCAGTCTCCAGATCTCAACCCCATAGAAAATCTTTGGAGGGAGTTGAAAGTCTGTGTTGCCCAGCGACAGCCCCAAAACATCACTGCTCTAGAGGAGATCTGCATGGAGGAATGGGCCAAAATACCAGCAACAGTGTGTGAAAACCTTGTGAAGACTTACAGAAAACGTTTGACCTGTGTCATTGCCAACAAAGGGTATATAACAAAGTATTGAGAAACTTTTGTTATTGACCAAATACTTATTTTCCACCATAATTTGCAAATAAATTCATTAAAAATCCTACAATGTAATTTTCTGGATTTTATTTTCTCATTTTGTCTGTCATAGTTGACGTGTACCTATGATGAAAATTACAGGCATCTCTCATCTTTTTAAGTGGGAGAACTTGCACAATTGGTGGCTGACTAAATACTTTTTTCCCCCCACTGTACATACTGTATTACCACGTACCCCTGCACATTGACTCGGTACCGGTACTCCTTGTATATACTGTAGCCTCATTATTGTTTTTATTGTGTTACTATTTCCTTTTTTATTTAGCAAATATTTTTAACTCTGCATTGTTGGGAATGGGCTCGTACATACGTTTCACTGTAAAGTCTACACCTGTTGTATTCGGCACGTGACCAATAAAATGTAATTCGATTTGAAAACAATAACTCACTATATATTCTCGGGCTCCCGAGTGGCGCAGCGGTCTAAGGCACTGCATCTCAGTGCTTGAGGCGTCACTACAGACCCCTGGTTCGATTCCAGGCTGTATCACAACCGGCCGTGATTGGGAGTCCCATAGGGCGGCGCACAATTGGCCCAGCGTCGTCCGGGTTTGGCCGGTGTAGGCCATCATTGTAAATAAGAATTTGTTCTTAACTGACTTGCCTAGTTAAATAAAGGTAAAATTAAAACATATAGTGTACTACTTTTAACCAGGGACCATGGAGCTCTGGTCAAAAGTAGTGCACTATGTAGGGAATAGGGTGCCATTTGGGATGTAAACTAATAAAATACAAGCTAGAGAGTTTCTCTGTATGTATTACTGACTAACCAGTGGAGTTCAGTACAAGTTTGAGCATTTTGAACCCTCCGTCTAGAATAGCATTTCTTTATCACATAAGTCTCCTACAACTCTATTGTGTTTCCACCGTGCTAGCTGAACAAGCCCTGAACTTCACCCCCATCTAAGCCTCTTTTAATTCCTCGTTTTGTATAGAGAAGAGGAGACAACTCTCCAGAGACATAACAAATGGAGGTGAATGAGAGGAAACAGGACTTTCGACGGTTCCATCTGGCTGGCTCACTATGCCATAGGAAAAGCCCTTAATGGTCAGAGAGGTCAGAGAAAACGAAGGAAACATCTTGAGCGCAGTACAGGAGGCCCCACAGTCCATTTGTATATTTGCAATGCCAAAAATTTCCTGCAATTCATCAAGGCCGAGGTGCAGGAAGGTAATGCATGAATAATAATAAAATCCAATGCAAATTCGACGTTAGACACATACATTTCCTCTACAGATGCCTCTGATAACAGTGTCCACAGCTCCTAGTACCAGTCCCATCCCTCCACTCTCTAAGGCTGCTAACAATCTCATAGAGACAGTAAGATCAACATTTGACTATGCCTGTCTGTCTCAGCTGCCCTACCCCTGATACAATTACACCACATTAAAGTGATAGTATTAAATAACAATGGAGGATTCTGACCAAACGTCTGCCATGACTCATGCATCCATTTTTATTACAATAAAGATTACTTACTAATTTTAATATCTGATAATCACTACTAGCCTACATTCTGCACACTCACACACACATATACAGTACAAACATAATCAAGCACACAGGGTGTACACTACATGACCAAAAGTATGTGGACACCTACTCATCGAACATTTTATTCCAAAACCATGGGCATTAATATGGAGTTGGTCCCCCCTTTGCTGCTATAACAGCCTCCACTCTTCTGGGAAGGTTTCCACTAGATGTTGGAACATTGCTGCAGGGACTTGCTTCCATTCAGCCACAAGAGCATTAGTGAGGTCGGACACTGATGTTGGGCAATTAGGCCTGGCTCGCAGTCAGCGTTCAAATTCATCCCAAAGGTGTTCGATTGGGTCCAATGGCGGCGAGCTTTACACCACTCCAGTCGACGCTTGGCATTACGCATGGTGATCTTAGGCTTGTGTGCAGCTGCTCGGCCATGGAAACCCATTTCATGAAGCTCCCGACGAACAGTTCTTATGCTGACGTTGCTTCCCCAGGCAGTTTGGAACTCGGTAGTGAGTGTTGCAACCAAGGACAGACGATTTTTACGTACTACGCGCTTCAGCACTCGGCGGTCCCGTTCTGTGAGCTTGTGTGGCCTACCACTTAGCGGCTGAGCCGTTGTTGCTCCTAAGCATTACCACTTCACAATAACAGCACTTACAGTTGACCGGGCAGCTCTAGCAGGGCAGATATTTGACAAACTGACTTGTTGGAAAGGTGGCATCCTATGACGGTGCCACGTTGAAAGTCACTGAGCTCTTCAGTAAGGCCATTCTACTGCCAATGTTTGTCCATGGAGATTGCATGGCGGTGTGCTCGATTTTATACACCTGTCAGCAACGGATGTGGTTGAAATAGCCGAATCCACTAATTTGAAGGTGTGTCCACATACTTTTGTGTATATAGTGTATATTTCATTGACTCACCCATCCACACTTCTCCAAACTGTCCTGCTCCCAGTTTCTTCACCATCTTGATGGACTCCTTGGAGATCTCCCAGGCATCTTTGTCCCATGGCTTCTGAGCTTTGGGTTTATCACACGGCTTCTCCAGCTTTCGACAGAGACCATCTGATTGTACTGACAATCACACCACAAACTGATGTTGAGACATAGCAGAGTGCTTTTAGTATATAGAGAAGTTGAAATGTCTTAATTTAAGGTCATAAATAGTCAAAGTAAAGTCACCAAGCAAGACATTTACATTTGTGCAACATTACAGGTGGGCTCAAATACAGTGGTACTCACTGTAATAATGTTTTATCATGCTGCCAATATCAGGAAATGTGATTTTAGGAGAGATGTAGAAGCCTCCGTTATCCAGCATGCGGATCTTATAATGTTTCACAGCGTCTGTCCCCTGGGCATCCACATCTCTGATAGACATGGAATAACTTCCTGATAAAGAGAAAAAACACAATCACAATCATACTCATACTCATACATTCAGACATCCAAATACAATACAGTGAATAATATATAAAATAATAATATATTCAATTTAGCAGATACTTTTATCAAAAAATGACTTACAGTCATGCGTGCATAAATTATTTTACGTATGGGAATCATGGACAAGTTATTTTCATTAGAGAGACATAGTTTCTCCAGTGGGTCCTTACCTTTTGATGTCTCACTCTCACGAATGAGGTAAGATCCTGCTTTGTTTGCAGGGGCCAAAAGTTGTCTCTCTGCGTCCTTCCTTGTAATATCCTTGAAAAACCATCTACGCAGAAAACAATATTATAGTGACACATTTTAGACATCCAATCTTCCCCTGAAATGAATGAAATAACAGCTATGTGCATCTATTAACGGTGACTAGAAAGCCTTGTTGGTGCTGAGAGAAATGTGTAAAAGTCATTATGATAATGACACTCACTCCTCTGTCTCCATGGTGTTGGCCTCGGCAACATAATTGGAGGGTATGAACCCTTCTTTCTTAGTGGTCAGAGACCTAGCCTTCCACCATTCACCATGCCTGAAAACAGTTACGATTCATATGATGTCAATGAAGGAAGGGACACAACAACAAGCTACTCTTAGAAAAAAAGGGTTCCAAAAGGGTTCTTCAGCTGTCCCCATTGGAGAACCCTTTTTGGTTCCAATGAGAACCCTTTTGGGTTCCACGTATAACTAAAGGGTCCTACATGGAACCCAAAAGGGTTCTCATTGGAACCAAAAAGGGTTCTTCAAAGGGTTCTCCTATGGGGACATCCGAAGGTTCTAGATAGCTCCTTTTTTTCTAAGTGTGTTCTATTCAATGATGACACTGTAATCATCTTTATATAAAATGCTTGCAAAAACAATATTCCTCTTAGTCCAACATTGGGTTGGTTTATGTATAAAATCCAACACACTCAAATGTAATAATATGGAGAACAGGCACTTACTCTTCAAGAACCTTAAGCCTTTCGCCCTTCTTGAATCCCAAATCGTCTGCATGTACTGCATCATATGGGTATATTGCAATAGCTATTTTACCAGACTCGCTTTGCTCTGTGTTAGAAAAGAGGGGGGGAGAGAGTGGGAACACACTTCTCTGCAATCAAATGTTATTGGAATATTACAATGCACTGCAAAAGAAATGGAACGATCATACAATATTTGCTCTGCATCATTACTGTAACAATGTGCGATAAAGAAATGCAACAAGCATACCTTCCATATTCATGAATACCTGACCAGGCAGGAGACCTCCAGGAGGTGAGTTACTCTGTATCAAGATATAATTTCATATCAGAACTTCTGAACCGTAGTTTGCCAAAATGTTGTTATGGTTTTATTGTGCTAATCTATGAACAATAGTTTGAATCTAAGGTGAAGAGATAGTGAAAGAGACAGAGAAATGTGTGCTATTTCGTCCATTTAAATAAAAAATATGAATAATTTGGTCAATATTCGAAGATTCATCAACAACGCACTTTAACCAATTTTGTCAGTTGTTTCCAGGACAGGGATTTTTTGTAGTGATTACTAAAATACTGTTTCACCTGAAACTACTACTTACTTTAGCATTTGGTTTACTGCAGGTGTGATCTTTCAAATCTACAGTTTGGTCGGGACGTACTGGCTGTCGGTTCTTGCCATCAAGCACACCTCCATTCAGACCGGCATTCAGCTTGGATTTTTTACAACCCATGTTGTCTGTTGGGAAAGACACAGAAGCTAACTTTAATGTATTGACCTCATCTTTCCCATTGGTTAATACCACAGATGGGCACATAGCATTTGGAACATGGCTTGTTATTCATCATCTCTATATTCCAGCTAAATGCCCATAAGGAATGAGGGATGGGAAACATCACAAAGATGATACATCAAACATAAGATAAACACTGACTGTATGTGTGTGTGTGTGTGTGTGTGTTAGCAGTGTTCATGACTGACTGTACACAGATGACCACTGCTCATAAACACAGATTACTTGTTATTAAGTAAAGTAGAACTGCAGTAGCTTGGGACTAAGTTACTATGACAGTGCACAGCAGAGTTTATGACAGTGCACTGATCAGGAGTCAACTGTGTCAATAACTGTAAAATATATAACTATTTATTTGCCGTAATATTGATGGCACACAACCTAGCACAGATCAAAGCCTCACTCACTCATTTAACTTTTATTCATTCACAAACATTAACAGGCATTATCAATGATTTACTTGTTTTTTTTATGTCCTTCGGCATTGTTAGGCTTGGAAATGATAAATGATTTCGTATTCAGACAGAGTACACATACAGTATCTGAGCAACAAGCCTGTATAAACTAAGTATGGATTTTTGAGTTAGGCACTTTCTGTTTGAACAACTGGGCTCAGTTAGACATGTTCTCTCAGGGGAGTTGAAACCTCTCCTGTACTACAACACCACTTGATTCAGTGGTGTCTGCAAATGAAGTTACACCTCAAAATAGAAGCAAGTGGGTTGTGAGCAGCAGTGGTTGTGTATCAGTATCTCTCTCTTCCTCTCTCTCTCCCTCTTCCTCTCTCTCTCTCTCTCTCTCTCTCTTCCTCTCTCTCTCTCTTTCTCTCTCTTCCTCTCTCTCTCGCTCTTCCTCTCTCTCTCTCTCTCTCTCACAGTTTGGAGCACTATACTGTAAAGGTCACAATTTTAGGTATGTTACATTGTCTGCTGTGTAGGTTAATACCATAGACATGATACAGGCCGCGTTTTTCTATCTACCAGCAGAAAACATGGTTCTACAGCCGGCTCACCTGGACCAGGTGCAGCACATGATTTACTGTGTCACATGTTTACACACTCCAATGACAATGCTCAGTGTCCAGGAGAATTCTCCAAGGATTTCAGTTATAAGTTATAAATATCGTATTATCTTATGAGCTACAAAATAATAGAATTAACACAATAGGCCTATTGCCTCATCTTAAACTACTGTGTTACTAAAACTGAGGGAGAGAAAAATATGGCATGGAGGAGGAGGTGTGGGGGTGGTTTGCTGGTGACACTGTCAGTGATATATTTAGAATTCAAGGCACACTTAACCAGTATGGCTACCACAGCATTCTGCAGCGATACGCCATCCCATCTGGTTTGCGCTTAGTGGGACTATAATTTGTTTTTCAACAGGACAATGACCCAAAACACACCTCCAGGCTGTGTAAGGTCTAGTTGACCAAGAAATAGAGTGATGGAGTGCTGCATCAGATGACCTGGCCTCCAGAATCACACGACCTCAACCCAATTGAGATGGTTTGGGATGAGTTGGACCGCAGAGTGAAGGAAAAGCAGCCAACAAGTGCTCAGCATATATGAGAACTCCTTCAAGACTGTTGGAAAAGCATTCCTCATGAAGCTGGTTGAGAGAATGCCAAGAGTGTGCAAAGCTGTCATCATGGCAAAGGGTGGCTACTTTGAAGAATCTCAAATATAAAATATATTTTTATTTGTTGAACACTTTTCTGGTTACTACATGATTCCATATGTGTTATTTCATAGTTTTGATGTCTTCACTATTATTCTACAATGTAGAAAATAGTAAAAATAAAGAAAAACCCTGGAACGAATTGGTCTGTCCAAGCTTTTGACTGGTACTGTATATCTGTGATAAAAATAATGCATTCAACATAATGCATTCTAGTGCTCTGAATCAAATGCTGAAAAACAAACCCAACTACACTGTTGGGTCCTTTGGGTGTCAGGCTCTGGCTGTCTCAGTGCTGTGGCTGTATTTTTAGATGACTGACAGGATACAGGTAAAGGCTCCGGACAGATTAAAATAAGTATACAGAGGCTACGTGCTACTGTGGCTTCTGCACACTTCCTCATTTGACCAGCCACTGCCTTTTGCAAGGAACAACCCTCTCTGCATAATGTATGTATTTCTCAACCAAGTCTGGTGTTGTTTAGGTGTCAACTATTATTCTATTTTCTTTAGGAATTCATTTAGTTAAACAATGCAGAAAGTGCAATTACATTGAATAATGTTGAATAAATACAAAGACATTGATGAAAATAAAAAATAAACTTGAAGATGGAATCCACAGTAGGTGGAAACAGCGCCACTGGCCACCCCACCACCGTTGTTATGTTTATTGTTGCCGAGCTGAGGAGCATTACGCAACAGGTAAAACAAACGCAGCACTTATTGTGCTGTTCTATCGTGCGAGCAACGATGTCCAAGGGGAAAAAACTGTGTTCATTGTTTGCAGTAACTTCTTTGTTGTTGTAATATCGCAAACGGACGTGGCTATTTCACCATTAAGGATTCCAGCTTTAAACTATGCCTCACACACTTGGGTAGGCCTAGATTAGTGGAGGGGACAGTGCATGTGGGCATGCGCATGCCAGGTGTGTCAATTACACTCATACACTTCGCATCCTTGTACCTGTTCCATTATGGCGTCTGTGGGAGCATCTCCATTTTGAAGTAGTCCATTTTCTTCTTCTACTACTTCTATACTGCCACCTGGAGTGTGTTGTTTGAACATGTATAACGCCAAGGTTGGTGATTTACTGGCACTTGCAGTTATGGAATGTTTGCTCAAAAGTATAATTCATTGGCTGATCCTTCCTGGTGACCTGGATGGAATTATGTGACCCTTCCATAACCCATAGGAAGTCCCACCCAGTTGACTACTTCAAAATGGTTTAAGTCCTCAATTGCGCTGCTCATGATAAACTGGGCTTGTGCGCATTAGAGTCCCCTATCTATCTCTATAACCATGTTTACATGCACACACTGGTAGAAAAAGTACCCAATTTTCATACTTGAGTAAAAGTAAAGATACCTTAAAAGAAAATGATTCAAGTAAAAGTGAAATTCACCCAGTAAAATACTACTTGAGTAAAAGTCTAAAAGTATTTGGTTTTAAATATACAAATACAAAATATAAATAGTAAAGTACAGATACCCCAAAAAACTACTTAAGTAGTACTTTAAAGTATTTTTACTTAAGTAGGCTACTTTACACATTTATTGTATAAATTTACTGCAAGAAATGCATCATTCTGCAGGAGTTAATATTATATTATGAGAGGTTATAGGCCTATAGTCAGTGTCCATATTTGAGTTACTATTCCATTTAACCCCTATTCTGTTTATTCATGTTACAGGAATACTCATGAGCGGGATATCAAAGGTGCATGTAAACAGATTATCCCGAATAAGACTAAGCGGGATATGAGCTACTATATACGGAATACTGTGCCCATGTAAACATGGTCACTGATCACACCATCGTGAAATGTGAGCGGGCGATGGGAACCTGCTGCATAGTGCAGTTTAAATTCTTTCTTTTAAACCCCACACATTTTTGGAAATAATATGTCACTTCCTAAAACATAGGCAACACCCTGGGTTGTACAGACAGAGGTTTAAGGACAATTTTAACTTGTGCACTCGGCTCAGTGGACCATATGACGTTTTTTTTTATAGCGAAAATGTGGACAACATTGCCAAATAAATGGACTAGCGTTATGTTTATAGAAATACAATTAAGACTTGTTTGATTTAAACAAAATGTAGACAAGGAAAATATATAGAATAAAGGTGCAATGCCATAAAATAGACTAGATTTACCTGTCAAATGTCACTAGTTGGAGATGCGGCTGAGCGGCTCATCCAAATAAAGACAAAATGTTTGTAATCCTCAACTTTCGTATGTCTACCTCTTCATTAGAGCTGACAATTAGAGTTACATTCATCTAACAGAATGAGGAACTTCATATGTTAAATGGTAGGGATTTTTTTTGTGTGCAACTTCCTGGTACAACGTTCTGTTTTGTCCAAAGCATTTGCATAATTGCGCACCAACCGTACACATTTGAAAGGCCAAGGTAATTTGAGGTCAAAGTCATTTATTACATACCTTTATGTCCACTGGATTTTTTGTTTGGGGGCTGAGCTCACAGAGAGAGGGAGACCTATCTGTGGACCCAAGCACCACTCTGTGCTGGCTGGCTATACTCTGATGCCAATCTATCTACGCATATCTAGTGTGTAGATAACATATTAATGTATTTCCACAAAAAAAAAGCCAATGTTGAGAACCAGCCAATGATAAATGGCATGGTTAGCTTTAATACAAAAATAGATAATGCAAGAAAATCTGTTCTTTGAAAAATAAAAGCAGTAAAACGTGTATAACCACATGGGCAGACCATTAACACAAAACAACATCAGATAATAATAATAATATGCCATTTAGCAGACGCTTTTATCCAAAGCGACTTACAGTCATCGTGCATACATTTTTGTGTATGGGTGGTCCCGGGGATCGAACCCACTACCCTGGCGTTACAAGCGCCGTGCTCTACCAGCTGAGCTACAGATTACACATTATCAGATTGCAAACATGCACTAAAAAAACTGACCTCAAACGGAGATCATGATTAACATTAGGTCAAATAAAACTAGCAATCTGATTTAATCAAATTGCCAAAATACGCAGTTATCGTCTTTAACTTGTTGTTGAGAAAGTTCTGTTCCACCTCTACTCTCCCACCAGGCCCAGCAAGAGAGGCGATCTGGAACACAATCATAACAAGAAAACAACAACAGTTACTATATACTAATTACAAGTCAGAGTCATGGCCATAAAAATGAATTATATAGAGAGAAATAAATCAGCACCTTGATATATAATGAAAGTCTATTTCAATTAAAATGTTCATTAAATAATGTAATAGATTTGTATGTAAATCTAGTTCACTGTATACCTATAAAGCTGGCAAGTTATTATTTACAGAGGAAGCCCAATTCAGATATGTATTTTCACTAATTGGAAAAAAGATCAGAATTGAGGTGCCTGTATAAACGCCGCCACAGTCGTCTGACAGGAACAGTAAAGGCCAAACAGAACCAGACTCTGACCTAAATATATGAGTTAGTCAGAACCACCACAATCAAACCCCTCTAGAGAATGGAACAGAAAAAGAACAATACTAACTCTGATTAAAATAAATAGGGGCCTAGAACCATTAGCCAATACGCAAATAGTACCAATTGATCAACTGGGTGGCTTGGGTCAATGTAGTTCTATACACCTCTGTATTTATTTGGACAGCGAAGCTACATTTAAAAAAATGTGTCTTTCTGACTAACTTTTTCACTCATCATCATTCACAATTAATGCATGATTATCCATAACCATGGTAACATCAACATTAATGTAGAAGTGTTCAGAAACATCTTCTATTCTTGCTTACAATAAAAGTGACAATACATTATTCACCATTCAGTTCCTATTGGGCAAAACATAACCCGAAACACAACCAAAACATGCTGTGAATGCATCCAAGTTTGTAGAGTGACAAGCTTGATGTTGTCACTGTGTACAAGGACTATGGGACCAAATACTAAACGTTTGACTACTTTAATACACTATAAGTGAATTTGTCCAAATACTTATGACTTCTTCAAATGGGGGGGGACTAGGTACATTTCTAAAAGGTCAAACAGATATGTATGAAAATACCCTCAAATAAAAGGTGACATTCTGTACTGTCACCTCATATGAAACATGAATCTCAAATCCAAAATCCTGGAGTATAGAGCCCTATTTAAATATTTTGGCTTCACTGTCCAAATATATATGGAGGGTTGTGTACTACTTCTAAGCTCATTATACTTCTTATCTTCTGATAACAGCTACCATGGACATAGCTTTATAGTAGCAAGTAGTAGTAGACATGCAATAAAAATAGTTAAATCTGCCACTGCTAAATAAGTAGATCAATAGGTTACCAAATAGGTGACAGCCTGCTTTGTTAGACTGCTGATAACATACATGAGGATGGCATAATGAAATATTCATGAGGCCTATGTAGCCTCTCCCAGCTCTGGGAGCCTTTGATCTGACAGTGAGAACACTTACAGCCCCAGGCCATGGGATAGCACAGAGCACAGAGATGGGAAGCCATGTAAATAAAGGAGAAGTATGGGCATTCCCCAGAACATGCTCAGTAGAGGAGGCTCAGCCGGGCAGGCAGACGCTTGGCATCATCAGCTCTGACTACGGCTATGTCCCAACTTTTTCTGAAGTGTGCACTTGCACATTTCCTCGCATGGATTTATCAAATGGTGGCAACTCCCTCTAGCCAATCCTTATACCAATCCTTTTGAATCAATGATGAGGAATGTGCAAGTACACACTTTGGGATAAGGGTGGTGAATTGGGATGCAGCTTCCATATAAGGAGCCCTGCAGAAACATCACACTTCTATAGGCCTTTAGACTATACTGCTGTTATCTACTTTACACTGAAATATCAACAAATATATCTTGAATCAATGGTAGACAATTAGCCAAGCATGACTAGCATGCACAAACTCAACATCAAAATATGAGTTGCAAACCGCCAATACTCCTCCACTTGTCCATATAACCTAATAACCTACCTGATCCATGTCTGCATTTCGTGGGAGGAAGTACACAATATTATCAGATATCATCTTGGACAACCTGAAAATGTCAAAAGTATTAAAAGTTAAGGAAAACAACAGTGTTAAACTTTTCTACGACAATATAATATAATGCTACAATGCCTGTAAATAGTAAATACTAGTGAAATATAAAAGATAGCTAACTCAGATTGGCAAGCAAAGACCAACCCACCAACAAAACGAACTGTACATCCAAAGTTCCTGCCTTCACATTCCCCCTTAGCTAGCTAACAAACTGCTGGCCCTGTCACTCTGCCTCTATCTGCATGTACCTCTGCCTCTCTATCTGTCTCTGTCCTGGCCCGTCTCTGAGTCTGGCCCGTTGCCTGACTAATAGCCTGAGAGCAGCTTCATTGAGAGAAATAAAGGATATCCATTTGGAGCCATCATGGTCTTGATATCGAAGACGTCTGCGCTGAGGTAGTCTGGGCCGCCCCAGGGGGGGCTGAGGAACACCACGTCCGCCCGCAGATGCGGTGCCAGCTTCAGGAAGTCTCCCTGCACAAATTCGATGCGCTCTGCCACCTTGTAGACCTGGGCGTTGTGCTGTGCCAGGGCCAGACGCACCGGGTCGATGTCAATGGCTAGCACTGCATGGGGGAAGGGACATGAAGGACAGAGAGTCAGACACACACGGAATCCCACTCAGGACAACATGCTTTATATCTGTATAAATGTCTGGAGGAAGGGGAAGGGACATAGACGGTCAGGGTGCATCTCAAATGGCACCGTATTCCCTATGTAGTGCACTACTTTTGGCCCATAACTACACTATATATGGAATAGGGTGCCATTCGAGATGCAGACTGAGTCAGACACACAGGGAGAACCACTAAGGACAATATGATGCATTATAACTGTTAACCTATAGGATATAATAAGGGCCAAGAGGTTTTCCTGGTCACGTCACAGGGTCAGGAAAAATATCTTATAAAAAAGTTGATAAGATATTAAATCAAAGGAGCCTCTGAAGTTTGGCTCAAATATGATGCTACTATACCCCTCTTCCCAGTGAGGGCAAACTGGATGGCATTGCCTCCCACTCCACAGAAGGCGTCTATGATGAGTTCAGAGTGGAAACTCTCCTGGACCCTCAGGGCGATGTGCTCTGCTATCTTCTCTGGGGTAACAGAGAACCAGCCCTCTGTACAGACAGACAGACAAACGGACGGACAGACAGGAGTGAAAGGCTTTAACAAACTGAATACAAAGATGCATTTAATAATGTCTCTCATTTTACTATTTTAAAGCGAATCAATGCATTGTAGAATTATTTTATTTATTTATTCATATTTTAATCAATCATAATTTCATTTATCGGATGGGGGGGTGGGGGGAGGCATTGCCAATGCAAAGCATAGCCACAAGGGGTCAGTCAACTGTCAAATAGTTTTGTTCAAACAATGCCAATCTGATATTCAAGCCACATATTTATTTTCATTTTTGATTTACCAAATTTGTCCAGAAATATGATATATCATCTAATTGATTCATTTTGTGGGTCATGCTAGTGCCACAAATATTCCTGCTGGAATATAAAGTAGGTGTGTGTTTTTCCATCACATTGAGAATAGCCTGAATATACCATACAAGACAACCCAAAAAGTATTGAATAAGTATGCTGTGGATATTGAGGTATATTAGACTATGTGGAGAGACTGGGATGCTTCATAGACCAACCACATCCTCCTGTCTCTCCTCACCTAGACCATCTGCCTTTATTCTCCAGCAGCCATCACTGTTTTCTTTTCCGCTGCTTGTTTTCACAGCCTCCTCAGAGAATAAACACCTGCTAAGGCAAACAATGATGGGAGTGCACTCTTCTCTTTTAACGCTTCACGTTTCTCACTCTTTCATTACAGTACTCATCCCTCCCTCCGTTCTGAGAAAAGTGGCTGAGGAGAGGATGTTTCACAAAGAAACATGGATGGACTTTCCAGTTGAGCTCAAGGGAGGATCCGTAAATAGATAAATACGAGTTTATTTATTTTCCTAATGTTCACTGAGACAGGAGATTTTCCTTGCAGTTTGCAGTGGATTCTCAAAACAGATTGCTGTTCCTGAAGGAAACCTATAACACCACGTTAAAGAGCTTTTTTTTTTTTTTTTTTTTTTTTAAACCTACATGACTTCAGTCCCAAAAGACTAGATTACCCCTCCTCACAATCTGCTCTCTATCATTTGCCAGACACTGCTACACATGAGGCTGTATAGAGATTTTCTCTGGCTTTCTTCCTGTATCTAATTGAGCGACAGACACCATATAGATCTGATAGGACTAGGTGTAAATCATCTGGAGTGAGTTTCAGTCATGCTGCGGTATGTATCCTGGCTCCCCTCTGTTGACATGAATAAGTGAGTAGTTATGAAGGCTCTGATCTCATTTTCAAACAGAATTCAGAATGCACTGTGAAAGATTTCTGATTTGAGCGAGGGGAACATATTAGTCCTAATACTTTGGAGAATAGGGAGAGATTGGGCAGGATGAGATTGGCCCTCTGATAACAGATCAGCTCTTTGCCAGAAATAGGTTGTAGAACCACTTGACGTTTTGAACCAATGTTAAAATCAATGTTTAAAATTCTAAATCAAAAGGATGCATTTGGAGGATTTCAGTGGAGGTAAAAACTAAGCTTTTATAACTGAGCACTAAAGGTATGAATATTTGTCCTTCTAGAGTACAAGGTTGCTTCTGTTTCTGCTACAGTATCTACACTTTGTGTTGGAAATGGAAAAATAATCCTTCTACTTAAAATGAACCTAATCTGCATACAAAATGCCAATCATTAGTCTCTTATCAGTGCATCAGTGTTTAAAAACAGAGTCATGGTCTGGTGCACTAAAATTAGAGGACATGTGCACGAGGAGGGAACAAGGGAGGGAGGAAGCGGGAGGGAGAGAGAGAGTAGAGTTGCTCTGCTGGGAGACAGGGAGGGAGCCTGCTGCTGTCATGTGACGCAGGAGGGAGAAATGTGAGGTATGCTTCACTGGCATCAGCACTTCTCCCTACAGACAGGGCCCTGCCTGCCATCTCATCCCTCTATATCCCCACCACCAACATCCCTGCATCTCTTCCTCTTTTCTTCTCTGACAACATGATGTTAGACTTCAGGAGCAACAAAACTGTAGCTTTTACCTTGGACATAACAGCCATTCGTTTCTCAACCAGAGAAAAAGAATTAACGTTCAGTCACCTTGAGAAAATCATTTTCTCTTCAGAATAAAGTGCATTCCTGAATCGCATTTGACCCTCCGTTTGGGCTGCATTAATAGATGTGGTTGGGAGACTACAATAGTTATTCTCAAACTTGAGGAATATTAACAACAATATGGAGGTAAAGTAGTTCCTCCATATGATGAACCCTTTCTGCTTGAGCCTGTATGAAGAAATTGGTTGTGTTTTATTAAGTGTGTGTGTTCCGTTTGCTCCGTGACTCACCGTGGTCCAGCTTGATGCCCTCATCGAACCTGGAGAAGAGGCGGTAGCGCTGGGCCCAGTACTTAGCCAGCTCGGGCTCCGCTGCAATCTCAGCTGGCATCCCTCCACATTTCCCCATTTTCTTTGTCTTCTTGTTCTTCTTCTTTTTCTTACCCCTCTTCCCAGTAGACTCTGGGAAATAGGCAGCGCAAAAGTAGTACATTGTACAAGACTTCAACAATCAAACAGGAAATACCCCCCAACAAGTATAGATCTGACATGAACTCTTTATAAAGAAGCCCTGGGTTAGAAAAAGGTCTAAACCAGCTGTTAAGGCAAACCCACCTGTGTTATTGTGTTCAGGTGCATTGTGATTTAAGTAGTCTGGTATGTCCAGTGAGTACACCTCTCTTCTGAATTTAATCTCGTCATCCTCTTCCTCCTCTATTTTGGTGAAGATGTTCTGCTGGGAGGGTTGAGGGAGCTGCTCAGTACAGTCCAACTCCAAACAGAGTTGAGGACTATCTTCCTTCTCCATCTCTTCTTCCAGTCTCTCCTCTTTTCCCTCTGACTGTGGACAAGCAGGGCTCTCCCTGTCGGCATGCTCCCCGTGCTCATGTGACTGGCTTTCTGACCTGTCTGTGAAGGCTGTGTGTGTGCTGTTGTCTTTCTGAACCCTCTGGAGGAAACTCTGAACCTGAAAACAGAGCAGCACATGAGTGAGTGTGTACAAGAAACACACATGACCAATGAACGCTAGATGAACAGAGAAATATCACAATGAAACCAGACTTTAAAGTAGGCCTCAACAGGGCTCAAGTCATTTCTACTGTGCCTGCTGGATAATGGTGCCATTTGCTGCAGACAGTAAATACTGCAAGTCTTGCCCAGAAGATCAATTCAGTGAGTTCAAACAAAGAGATCAATGGAAAAGCACTGCATTTAACTGGTTTAAGTCCTCCCACAGCGCGACACATGACTTAATGTCTCAATTCAGTGCCAACTCAGTAGAAACACACTGATGTCCACTTCAATGGGGAAACTATACCTGTAGGTACAGTAAGTCATTAAGCATCTCCTTATTTGAAGTGCAGTACTTTGACAAGTTCCAATTTCTTTGGGATAATACAATCCCGCATAGTCAGCAAACAGAGAATAGCTGCATTTCTTAACCTCTCTATCATGGTGTGAATAAGCATGTTTGAGTTCATAGGGACCAGCTGAACACACTCTCCCTTTACTCCTCAAGGTCAGCCAGTGATGTGAACTTCCTACATCAGCCATCCAAAGGTAGTCTTACCAATTAAAATGTGACCGACTCAAATAAGCGGATGATACAAACTTTAAACAGTGCGGCTACCCTCGGACCAGTACAGTGCTATGTGGTAGCTCATTGTAAATAGATTCAGTTGGCTGAAAACAGCAGCTGAATGCATAAAGAGATGTGGTGTGTCAGAGGAGGCCAGCACTGACAGGAGGGGAGGGAGGATGGGAGTATTGGCTGTACTCTCATTTTCTCTCTCTGCCAGTGGAGACTGAGGCTGAGACCTCTCTGACAAGGCTCCCCCAGTGTCAACCACAGGGCATCCTCCTCCTAATCCAGTCAGGAGCTGCTATGAAATGTGTGTGTGGTACTAAAACGAGGGTGATTCGCTTTGTATCGCAATCAATAATGATTGTACTGTTTGTGTGAAAATAATTGGTAAAATGTTCAGAAGACTTACTTTTTGAAAGGTCTTGGTCATCTTTGGCTCTGTGGTATCTCCCTCTTCAGTGAAGAAGGTGTGCTTGTTGATGTAGCAGGCTGCTTTCCTCCCTCCATGTTGCTTCCTATTCCTCCATGCCTTACTACCATGGTGGTGACTGGGGCTGGGCTTAAACTTCAGCACGCTCTCAATCCTAAAAAAACATAAACATAAAGAGAGACTGATATTCTAAGAATCTATGAAGAGAAACTGATATTCTAAGAATCTATGAAGAGAGACTGATATCCTAAGAGGACAATCTCAACCATTTGTACATATAACAGGCTGGTCAAAAGTAGTGCACTCTTTAGGGAATAGGCTCCCATTTGGGACACAGCCCATGTCTGAGGGAGTAATGCTGACTTACATGGGGTCGTGGCTGCGCTTTAATCCCAGTTTATCCCAGGCGTCATCCACAGACATCTGAGGGTTCTCCTCCACATCCAGTTCATGACTGTGTCAATCACCAGATCAGTAGACGATAGATCAATACACAACATTAGCCTTACACACCATCACAATGATCGAACAAGGCTCCATCCCAAATGGCACCATATACCCTATATAGTGTACACTTTTTAATATAGGGCCCTGGTCAAAAGTAGTACACTATATAGGGAATAGGGTGCCATTCGGGACGCAGTAGAAGTGTGGCCAACAGTAGAACGTTTATGAGATGCAATAGACAAGAAAAAAGGAAAATGCAGAAAAATATTGTTATAGTCTCACAAAGCATTGTGTAGGCTAAATCACATATCAGTCCCCAATACCAGGCTTTGGGTTGGAATGGGCCATCATGTGATGTTTACTGATTTTCATGCATACAGATTCCATTTACAGAATCCTTGGTTATTGAAACATGGAGTGTTTATCATCGAAGCATCGAAATCTATGTCTTGGACATGAACATCTCCTTGGATCAAACTGAAATTGAAAAGACATAAGCATTCATTCCCCTGGCTGACACTTTTTCTTTATTGGCTATGATGCAGTGAATGTAATCATTTACAACTTGAATCGTAGTTCAATTCAATCCCCTATTAAAAAATATGTAATTTACTGGCAGCATATATGGCAGCCACATAAAACGGTAATTTCCAGTTATACTATTCTTGGTAATGGTACTACACTGCTCAAAAAAATAAAGGGAACACTGTAATAACACATCCTAGATCTGAATGAATGAAATAATCTTATTAAATACTTTTTTCTTTACATAGTTGAATGTGCTGACAACAAAATCACACAAAAATTATCAATGGAAATCAAATGTATCAACCCATGGAGGTCTGGATTTGGAGTCACCCTCAAAATTAAAGTGGAAAACCACACTACAGGCTGATCCAACTTTGATGTAATGTCCTTAAAACAAGTCAAAATGAGGCTCAGTATTGTGTGTGGCCTCCACGTGCCTGTATGACCTCCCTACAACACCTGGGCATGCTCCTGATGAGGTGGCGGATGGTCTCCTGAGGGATCTCCTCCCAGACCTGGAAGCATCCGCCAACTCCTGGACAGTCTGTGGTGCAACGTGGCGTTGGTGGATGGAGCGAGACATGATGTCCCAGATGTGCTCAATTGGATTCAGGTCTGGGGAACGGACGGGCCAGTCCTTAGCATCAATGCCTTCCTCTTGCAGGAACTGCTGACACACTCCAGCCACATGAGGTCTAGCATTGTCTTGCATTAGGAGGAACCCAGGGCCAACCGCACCAGCATATGGTCTCACAAGGGGTCTGAGGATCTCATCTCGATACCTAATGGCAGTCAGGCTACCTCTGGCGAGCACATGGAGGGCTGTGCGGCCACCCCACACCATGACTGACCCACCGCCAAACCGGTCATGCTGGAGGATGTTGCAGGCAGCAGAACGTTCTCCACGGCGTCTCCAGACTCTGTCACATGTGCTCAGTGTGAACCTGCTTTCATCTGTGAAGAGCACAGGGCGCCAGTGGCGAATTTGCCAATCTTGGTGTTCTCTGGCAAATGCCAAACGTCCTGCACGGTGTTGGGCTGTAAGCACAACCCCCACCTGTGGACGTCGGGCCCTCATACCACCCTCATGTAGTCTGTTTCTGACCATTTGAGCAGACACATGCACATTTGTGGCCTGCTGGAGGTCATTTTGCAGGGCTCTGGCAGTGCTCCTCCTGCTCCTCCTTGCACAAAGGCAAAGGTAGCAGTCCTGCTGCTGGGTTGTTGCCCTCCTACGGCCTCCTCCACGTCTCCTGATGTACTGGCCTGTCTCCTGGTATAGCCTCCATGCTCTGGACACTACGCTGACAGACACAGCAAACCTTGCCACAGCTCGCATTGATGTGCCATCCTGGATGAGCTGCACTACCTGAGCCACTTGTGTGGGTTGTAGACTCCGTCTCATGCTACCACTAGAGTGAAAGCACCGCCAGCATTCAAAAGTGACCAAAACATCAGCCAGGAAGCATTGGAACTGAGAAGTGGTCTGTGGTCACCACCTGCAAAACCAGTCCTTTATTGGGGGTGTCTTGCTAATTGCCTATAATTTCCACCTGTTGTCTATTCCATTTGCACAACAGCATGTGACATTTATTGTCAATCAGTGTTGCTTCCTAAGTGGACAGTTTGATTTCACAGAAGTGTGATTGACTTGGAGTTACATTGTGTTGTTTAAGTGTTCCCTTAATTTTTTTGAGCAGTGTATATTGCTATGCCAACAGGAGGAATAGAGGACAATAATGTACAATACTGCAAGACATGGAAATATAAATAAATTGCCATTTAGCTTACCTTCGCTTAAGTTTTGTGACTCTTCCATCTGGTGGTTCATCATCATCATCTTCATCACTATTAGATGCTCTTCTCTCACTTGATCCATTGTTATTTTTCTGGTGACACCCGTCCTGTTTGGAATCTGAAGGGGAAAAAAGTGTACATCCATTTGTCCCTTCAACATGTTTTCTGAGAGGATAAAACAGGGAAAGCAAAGTCGGCATGTGGTGTTTAACAATGCAAGATAAAAACAGAGATACTATGAAATAGAAATGACAGCAGTGTTGTGTTGTGTGGGATCAGTTACAGACAAGATGGAAAGTTCCATTTTTAGAGAGCATCCATCCCAGTCTACAAAGTCACAGAGAGGAGAGGAGACTGCCTTTGATTCAGGCAGTGGAGCTTTGCTCTCTCAGACAAGAGGAGCCATTAACAATGCATGGGCCTGTGTCACATGGTCCTTTCATTCAAAGGAACACATCTTTTGATAGTATGATGCATAAAATATTCAGACAGAGTGAACACACAGTTTGGAAAAAGCCCCAAATTACAAGGACTAAAATATATGTTTTAAAAAGGTGGTTTGTAGGACATATTGCTATCACCTACCCATGTTGAGTAGGCTATAGCAATAATATGTAATATCATTTGGCTGCCTGGTTGCAATAGGCTACTCTAATGACATCTTCAGTAGGGCTGGGACGATACCAGTATGGCGATACTCGTTAGTATTGTGGCAAGGAAACAAAACACAAAGCGGATTTTAAATTATTTAGGAAAACAGCCCTAATGCTGGAAACAAACATTATTATGTTGTCATCCAGAGTCACATGTATTTATTTTCCAAGCTATAGCACACCATATTTGACATACAACAGGACTCTAAAGGACCAAAGAGTGAGGTCTACTTCGTGTTTTCATTTTGCCATGAAAAAAAAAAAAAAATCAGGATACTGGTATTGTCACAGCCCTAATATTTAGGTTTTAATCGATTTGAGAGCTAGAACTGGGGGAATCACTGCTATATCAATATAGTGTCAGTCAATGATACAGGACAGTTTACTGAACTGAGAGACAGAAATATAATGTATGTAGGTGGAAGGATTCACCTCTTGATTCAGTGGACTTGGTTTTTGAGGAGGCAGGTCTTTTACGATTACCACCATCACAAGGTTCATCATCATTTCCACAGACATGGTCCGCTTGTTGTTTGCTCAAATCACACTGGCCAACTCCCTCTGACAGAAGGCTCATCTGCCCAATCAGATCGACCACTTCACTAGTGCCCGCCTCACTCCGCTCCAGCCTTCCTCCAAACTCAGACTCCCGTGGGTCACAACAAGGAGTTGGCTCTCCCTCGGCTTCACCCTCCTGTCCAGGCTGCTTTGGTTCAATGGGTGCACTGCTTGAATAGTCTGTGGTCCATCCCTGGGCTGCCCAGTAGTTGAACTGCTCCCAGTAGTAGAGAAAGGTGTGGCTGGCGTGTTGCTCCCATGCCTCCTTAGTGCCTGGGCAGTCCCAGGGGGGCTCTGCTGTGGCTGGACAGCTGGAGGTCTCAGGGTGCTTCTCCAACCAGCCCTGCCACAACAACCCCTCTCCCTGCTGGCTCCAGTAGCCTTCCCAACCCTCCTGGGCCTGGGTAGGTTGAGGTTCTGCGTCTGCCTCTCCTCCTGGCCTCTCACTGAGATCAAACCAATCAAACGCCGGATTTGTGCTTTCAACACTGGGATCATCCTTCTGCAACTGGAGTGGATGTGGATCATCTTCATCCAGATTCTCAGGGGCTGCTTCCCAGTGGTTAGCATTCTTCCTTCTTAACTTTCTCCCCTTTAGGAGAGACAAGGACACTAGGTGAAAGACAGCATAGGAGCTAGTGGTGTGCGGGTCAGCTGTTTGTTCACACGCAACTGTGCGCAATTGATAATAACCCTAACCCACAAACATAGAACATGCACTGTAGGCTACAGTCAGAAATGGTAGAAAGATTATTTGACAGTTGGTGCAGGATTTTTTTTGCCTGATTTAGATATGTTTCTGATGATAATTTACAACATTTTGGTAGGCTATTTGTTAGTCACCTTGTCTATAATTAGATACATGCTGCTTCTCTTATGTCATTATATGTTGCCCTAGAAGACTAAATAAACTCTTGCTCTTCAGAATAATGTCATAAATCGATAGAATGAATGCTTCAATCTAGTTGACATCGGAAAAGTTCTCTCTGTCATCTCTGTTTGTTTCGTGGCGCAAATACGTTTAGGGACCGGGATAACATGCAATAACAAAGATGTGAAAACGAGCCAACATGTTTCTGATAATATTTCAGTTCGGCTTGAATGCATAGACTATTTTATGTGGTTGAAATGCTATGATGCTGATAAAGATAGCACCACTACAGATGGTCCCTAACTGTGCATTAGCATTCTCTCAAGATGTTGAAAGAAATAAATCATATTTCTCCTGTTCCCCGAGTCAAAATGTAGCCTACATTTGGTGTATCATTTTACTGCAAGAATTGCTTACTTCTGCAGGAGTTAATATTAAGGCTATGTGAGAGGTTATAGACCTATGATCAGTGTCCAGATTTCAGTTTCCATGTAACCCATCTGAACAGTAGGCTACAGTTCACTTGATGTGCCATAGGCATATTTGAAGTCCCCATCTTGTGACTGTTGAATTTGTATAGCTCCTCAATCTTTTTCTGCCCATTCCCAAAAGCATTTGGCGATTGGCATGTAGGCTATTTGGCGTGTGTACAGTTAGGCCCTAAAGCTTAGGCTTACGCACTAATGCTAGATAGCCTAAAATAATGAAAGAAAAACCTCAATGTAGCCTATAGACATAAATTGCACAAGAATTATACATTTATGAATTATTAAGGTATAGTTTTCTTTTTATTCTACCCGCCCACCACCCACCCCGCCCTTCATCCACACAATATTTCATGACCCTAAACCCGCCCGCCCTGCGGATATAACCGTGGGGACTGCGGGTTATGAGTCAACCCGCACATCAGTAATCGGAGCAACATTACTTATTTTCTTTATTTTAGGTGGACTCTATTGTGAAGGATAAACATAGGCAATGTTTACTTGCTACTACTTACAGATTTCCTCTGTGCAGAGGAGCTTATGAACTCTACAGGCAGTCCCATGCTGGCCATAAGCTGGGCTTCTTCATCGATTGGTCCATCATCCTCCTCCTCCTCCTCCTCTTCAGTCTCTTCATCTTCTGCCTGGTCATCTCCATGCTCATCCTCTGCCTCTGTGAGTGCAACAATAGGCAGAGTTACAGACAACTTTCAGGTTTAAAAAAGCTTGTGAAAAGGTTGGCAACATGCATGTCAATGTCAATCATTGGGAGAGGTTAGCCAAGTAAAACTCAACTCCAGGACGTACTTCACATCAACGGAGTTGATCTGCAACTAGTGTGGGCTTACTGGAGTTCCAAGTCACATAAAATTATTGTTTTTCTCAAAAAAATATGGATTTCAGCAACCATAGCCAGCAATTACATAGGACAAGGTCCTGTGTAATTGCGTGCTTCTCCTTGGATGATGAAATCCGTCGTTTTTGATCAAAACAAAATTGTATGTGATGTCTGAGCTCCAGTCGGTCACCCTAGTCTGATCAACGCCTTTGATGTGAAGTACATCGTGGAGTTGAGCTTTACTTGGCTAGGGAACTTATGTCCAATGATGTATACAAACATCATTGGTTATGTCCTACCTTGTAGCCCACCGGCTTCAGCCAGGTCAGTGATGGCTTTACGGTCAGATCTGTACAACTCACGATCCCTACACCGGGAGAAAAAGAGGACACAGTCACAAAGTGAAAACAGTGCAACACAGTTTGTGTGTTGTACTTGTAACGTTCGCTATAGCTCGCTAGCTCACTTACTGTACAAAAGCTCTCGAACACAAGCAGTGTATCGTCCCATCATCTCCAGCCAAGCTCCTTTGGCTAAAAATAATGTCGGCAACCACATTCCATTTTCCATGATCAATCATCATATTCACGCTTGTTAGCTAGCGAACGTTAAAATGTAAATAGAAAGGCTCTTCCACTGCTATCGAAGTTCATTCGGATCCACACACGTTTAGGCTCCAATGAGATTCGTTCCTGGTTGTGTCACATGAATAAGGTACCGGGTGAACCAGGACAAAAAATATCAGGAATGTTCCTCCTCTCGACCTACCAACGGGATCCAAACGTATGTAATGATTTCATAAAAATATTGTATTGTTATTTATACAATACTAGTATTGGTGTCTATGCAGTGGATGTTCTTAGCTTTTGCTCGTGTCAAGGCTAGTTGAGGTAATTTATTATAGCTAGTCTCAAGAAGTAGGCTAGCTAGCCAGCTAACCTGCTAATTTATTAGCTGTGTAAATTAGCAAATCAGCTTGCTAATCGAGGGAAATGCCGATCCGAAATAATCAACAACTTTTTCATTATTAGGCTGTCTAGGTATGAAGTGAATTTTAAGATGCAGCTACTTGGATATCTAGTAGTCAGTTGTGTCACTCAGAGGTGTCAGACTAACGCCTTAGTTAGCACTGTAACTAGCTCAGTCAGCTGTCAAATACGGGGTGGCTCTCCAATGGACAGCAGCTGGGTCTGGTGGTCTGCTGATGGTGCTTTCAAGACAACTGGGAACTCCGAAAATACGAGGTCAAATCATGACATCAGTGATCTTCAGGTCGGAAAGTCGGAGTTCTAGAAAGAGGCCCGAGTTCCCGAGTTGGATTACCGTTCAAAACGATTTTTCCCAGTCGGAGTTCCCAGTTGTTTTGAACGCAGCATGAGTTCATAGAAGGGTTGGCTGACTACGTCACGAAATTGACCCGCCCGCATAGATGTGGCCAGAAGCCGTGCGTTATTATGATTCGGAATGGTCAGATAGCTAGTAACAATGACATGAAGCTGGCATGTGGGGAATCGTAAGTGGCTCGTTTCAGCAAGTGTTATCTTGTTGTTGATACCATGTCTTGTTTTGAGGTGTTTTGACTGATTTCATGTCAATGCTAATATAGCAAAAAAATACACTAGTTAGCTAACCAACAACTCCAACGACGTATTTGAGAGACAAGTGCTCATTGTGCAAATGTATTTATGTTTTCAATAAACATCTGGAGACTAAATATTGTTTACATGTTGTCAATAATCTAAGCCAACCCCGTCTTTTTTGCCCCATAGTTGTGCAGGGGTCGGTTTTGTTGCTAAACAACCAACCCGTCTATAGCCCAAAGGCCAGCACATGGCGATATTGAGACGTTTCATTACAGGCAAAGGGAATCCATGCAGCCGGCTATACACTCATATCCCCCGTGGACCGGTCCGTACATAAAACATTCGCCATTCAGCCTGCAAAGGCGTCGTTTCCCTCCTTAACTTGATTTAATAGCGAGAAGGCAGAAAAAAACGGGGGAAATATGCATACTTTCTTGATGAAACACCATTTTCCACCACCATGCTAGAGTGGCTAAATGCTAGTCCCAGATGTGACGGTTCGCGTTCAGCCAATCAGGTTGCAGCAGTCTGTTTTTTACCGCTTGTCTGAACAAATGACTGTGTATATGATCACGTGACACCATTCGTTCCTATGAGAAGACTCAATAGCCTTTGAAGTCGGTTAAAAGGTAGACTCAGCCATATGATGTAGATGCAGAAAGTAAACATTATGGTGGGTCCGTTTCCGCAACAACTAAGCGTGTTGAAATAGAGCAATGCTACCCAACCTGAGCCCGACGGGCCCCGACATTATACATCGGGTTAGGGCCGGGTAGGGCCTGTTTTTCATCAATAACTAGGGTACCTGCTAGGCATCACTAAATTGATCACTAACATTTTGAAGCTGAGCCATTTGATTGTGTGCTGCTGCGCAGTACAGTCACATGACTAAGATTATAACATGGTGTCAGAAGTGCCTCAACCTCATCAAATATAAGACAGGTGAGATTATGAAAAAAAAAGTTTTGTCAGATTTTAGTAACAAAGTAGCTAGCAGCTAAGTGCTCTCATGTCTCTTCATTGAGCAGAGCAGCCCAAGCAGAGCTGTTGCTATGGATACTCACAGACTCAGAGCAGCCATGAGCAGAGCGCATGCAGAGAGGAGCAGCTAATGGATTTACTAACGGAGTAAGTTATTTTTGATTTCGGGTTTCGGGTTTCGGGCAGGGCCAGGCGTTAAATTTGGCAGAAGCAATCGTGCCTGGGTAGGGTAGGGCCTGAACGTTGCGTGCATGGGTAGGGCTTAAAATTCATGCCTGTGCAGGGCTCTACGTTGAAGCTCGAGGCTCAATTTCTCTGCTGTTTTGGTGCCCTGGCTACCATGCTGTGAACAGCGTGACGTGAACCTGTGCACATGCACAGAAATTGTGTGTGACTGTGTGAGAGCGAAGTCTTGCATCTCGCTCATCTGCGGTGCTGCTCGTGGCAACTTCACTGAGTCTACCTTTAAGATGGTATCTCATGGAGACAACATGCACAGTTTGAGCTACTCCAGGAAGTGACATTGCAGGCTAGCTCAGTGCCCTCCATTGAGTAACTCAAGTTGAAGACCGACCGGGGTACTGCAGTCTGCCATTAGCAACTCAATTATCCTCATAACTTGTTCTGTTTTAGATTTTTTAATAATCCGTTCAAGGAAGTACATCTGGTGTATTAGAAGCAATTATTGGTACCATGATTGGTTCGAAACATTTTCTTATTTACGCGAAGATTGACCACGAAGATCGCAATTTTTCAATTCACTATAATGGGGATCCTGTTTTCTGCTAACAATGCCTGCAGTTGCGCGATCAGCTATGAACTTTCGTGGCTTCAATGAGAGGGGGAAGTTGTTCTCCCCTGGTCTGAACGCTGTGCGCAATATCAGGAAGTTGCATTAGCCACCATCGCATGGTGCTGAAAAAGGTGTTTCATAAAGAAAGTACGCATATTTCCCCCCCCTTTTTAAAAAATGCCTACTCGCCATTAAATTGAGTTAAGGAGGAAATGTACGCTTTTGCAGCCTGAATGGAGAATGTTTTATGTACAAACCGGTCCACGTATAGCCGACTGCATGGATTCCCTTTGGACGGTAAGATGAAACGTCTCAATATCGCCATCTGCTGGCCATGGGTGAACCAGAAATGTTTTAATAATAATAATAATAGTGGGATTTCTTGCTTCCTCTTCCGTCTCTGATTGTGTGAATGGCTTGACCCTTTACTTTTGTCTTTCAGGTGTTTCATGTGAGCCTGGTATGATCTGTCCTCAGTACTATTTACACTGGAAGAAAAAGGGTTTGTGAAACGTCTACCAAAATGTAGAGTCGCCCTGGCTAAGTGTCTACTAAATGACAAAAATGTAAATCTAAAAAAAATTGTCACATGCTCCAGATAGGTGCAGTGAAATGTGTTATTTTACAGGGTCAGCCATAGTAGTAAGGCGCCCTGGAGCAAATTAGGGTTAAGTGCCTTGCTCAAGAGCACATCAAAATATTTTTCTCCTTGTCGGCTCGGTTATTCGAACCAGCAACCTTTCAGTTACTGGCCCAAAGCTCTAACCGCTAGGCTACCTGCCGCCTAAAACATGTACTTTTTAATTCAGTGATGATACAAATGCAACCATTTGATTACTTGCAATTTGTGTTGCTTCTGAAGTAGCCGCACCTCATCTAGCTAACTTGATTGTTCAGTTTATAAATGCATGCTGATTTGTTTATTTCAGAATCAGCATGGTGTGTAAAATATTTATATTGAGTTTAATAGATACTGTATGGCAATGTATTTTTTCTATCCGATTCCCACTTCAATGTTTGCTCTCTGTCTTTGCAGAACAAACATTAATATGAATGTATTGGACTGTACTGAAATATCACCTTTTTAGCCCTCTTCTCTCTATTCTGTACTCCAGGCCTGCCCATTGGCAGATGGTATCCTTATTCGACTTGGCTTCCTCTGGGAGAGGCTAACTGTGTGGCAGTATGTCAAATGGGAACGAGTCCTGCATGTTCAGAGATGGAGCCGAGTTTGTGGCCTGCATCTTTCACGCATTTGAGGAATGGTCAGGACTAGGACCCCTGGAAGACTATCTGAGCTATCTGGAGTACCTGGCCTGGGTTTTCACCCCTCTGGTCGTTGTTTTCATCCTGCCCTTCCTCATTGTGATCCTCCTCTACTTCTCCATCCTCTTCCTCCATGTGTACAAACACAAGAACCAGCTCAGGGAGGCCTACTCCAACAACCTGTGGGATGGTGCTAGGAAAACTCTGGCAACGTTGTGGGATGGCCACGGGTTCATATGGCACGGTATTTATATATATATATTTATATATATACAGTGAGCTCCAAAAGTATTGGGACAGTGACAATTTTGTTGTTGTTTTGGCTCTGTACTCCAGCACTTTAGATTTGAAATGATACCATGACTATGAGGTTGAAGTGCAGACTGTCAGCTTTAATTTGAGGGTATTTTCATCCATATCGGGTGAAGCCAAGGTATTTACCTCCCCTACACCGCTAATGATGACAGATGGTGTCATCTTTGAAGCTTTAACATGCGTCGCCGATCTGCTGCCTGGGAGGGAGGCTAAGGTTGTCAGGCGGGGCCCCTAGGTGCCGCAGTGCCACTATGTAAGCCATGATGGGTGTGTTACAGTGTTTAGGGATGGAGATGTATAGAGTTGTCCTCTTTTTCCCCATCTCTGTATTCTCACACCTCTGTAGTCTCACCTGCCTGTCAATCAGTCATGGGACATGGATTCATTTTCCTCAATGATTGGGTCCATAGTTACAGTGAGCTCCAAAAGTATTTGGACTGTGACCTGTTTTGTTTTGGCTCTGTACTCCAGCACTTAGGAATGATACAATGACTATGAGGGTGAAGTGCAGACTGTCAGCTTTAATTTGAGGGTATTTTCATCCATATCGGGTGAACCGTTTAGAAATGACAGCACTTTCTGTACGTAGACCCCCCATTTTAGGGGGCCAAAAATATTGGGACAAATTCACTTATGTGTCTATTGAAGTAATCAAAAGTTTAGTATTTGGTCCCATATTCCTAGCTCGCAATGATTACTTCAAACTTGTTGGATGCATTTGTTGTTTGTTTTGGTTGTGTTTCAGATTATTTTGTGCCCAATAGAAATTAATGGTAAATAATGTATTGTGCCATTTTGGAGTCACTTTTATTGTATAATATAATATAATATGTTTCTAAACACTTCTACATTAATGTGGATGCTACCATATTCCTTTTCTTGACAGGATATGAAATCCATGGTATGGAGAAGATTCCAGATGAAGGAGCAGCTCTTATAGTCTATTATCATGGGGCTATTCCCATTGACTATTATTACTTTCTGGCAAATGTAATCATTCAGAAGGGACGTATTGTTCACTCAGTCGCTGATCACTTTCTGTTCAAAGTTCCAGGTAAGATCTTCACAGATCCATTTCCCAGTATCTAAATATAAAGGTGGAGATGTTTTATTCAGGATATGTTCCCTCTATGTAGTTGGACAATTCAGTGTACTGTATGTAGCCTACAGCTGCCTTAGTCTATTCTTACTACATGAGATACTAAGGCTGCGTTTACACTGGCAGCCCAATTCTGATCTTTTTTTCAGTAATTGGTCTTTTGACCAATCCGATCAGCTCTGAAAAAGATCTGACGCAAAATATCTGATGTGGGCCCCGTGTAGCTCAGTTGGTAGAGCGTGGCACTTGCAACGCCAGGGTTGTGGGTTCGATTCCCACGGGCGGCCAGTATGAAAAAAATAATAATTATGTATGCACTCACTAACTGTAAGTCGCTCTGGATAAGAGCGTCTGCTAAATGACTGAAATGTGATTGGTCAAAATACAAAAAAAATGAAAAAATAGCAGAATTGGGCTGCCTGTGTAAACGCAGCCTTGGACACTAAAAGCATGACCTGGTATTCTTCTCTGTAGGGTTCAAGCTGCTGTTGGAGGTGTTCAGTGTGATCCATGGGCCCCAGGAGGAGTGTGTGAAGGCCCTGAAAAGTGGCCACCTCCTGGGCATCTCTCCTGGAGGCGTGAGGGAGGCCCTCCTCAGTGACGAGACCTATCCACTTGTCTGGGGGAAGAGAAAGGGCTTCGCACAAGTGGCTATCGATTCCAAAGTGGTACATATTGTTTTTTGTCTCCTTCTGTCTTTGTTCCCAAATGGCACCCTATTCCCTATATAGTGTACTACCTTTAACCAGAGCTCTATGGTGGTCTGGAGCCCTATAGGTAATAGGGTGTCATTTGGAGACAGACGCAGTGCATGTCACTTTCCTCTTACAAAGGAGCATCACTTAAATGTTTGTCTTTATATTTTTTAGCCAATAATTCCAATGTTTACTCAAAACGTCAGGGAAGGATTCCGATCTCTCGGCGGGTTAAGTAAGTATGCTTAACTATTCATTTTAATTACAGTGTAACTAATAGAAGCGCATAAATTAACTTCAAAATGTTATATTTCTCAGGCTTTTTCAGATGGTCGTATGAAAAGTTCCGCATGCCTATGGCCCCTGTCTATGGAGGTTTTCCTGTGAAGTTTCGTACATACTTAGGTGACCCCATCCCATATGACCCTAACATTAGTGCAGCAGAATTAGCTGAAAAGGTAAGACATTATGCAACTGTGGCATATATCTGTAATTCAATGGCTACTTACTGTCTGAAATGTAGTGCACACAAAAGTCAAATGATTGGGAAAGATGGGGTCGGAGTGAATTTTCCTAATCTTTCTTTCTGATTTGCAGACCAAGCAAGCAGTTCAAGCACTCATTGACAGACACCAAATCATTCCTGGGAATGTCCTTCGAGCATTACTAGAGCGATTCCACAGCAGGCATAAAGAAAAATAGCATTTTGAATAGCTGTAAGGAATAGCCTTTATTTTGTTAGATGAAGCAGTTACTTATTTTGAAGACAAACTGTTACATATTGAAAGTGTGATCAATTGTATGGTTAACTACAGATTTGGATCTTAGTTTGAGCCAGTCTCCTACAGCAGGAAAATAATACAGCAGCAACAGGAAATGTGAATTATTATGTGGATTATAATGAATGGACATTTTTGTAGCGGTTGATACATTTTTCGTAAGGAAAAGCCTTTTTTAACCTCAAATACAGTACAAGTTTTACATTTCCTGGAAAGTTCTCCTGCAACAGGCTGATCAAATTAAGATCCCTCACCTGTACATTATTATTGTAGGTGTATCTTCAGGAGCTTTTTGCACTCAGTTTTTGTCACAAAACAACATGTACAGAAGGTAAATTGTGAAGGTATAATACACCATACAACTGTAATTATGTCAAATGTGCAAATTGAAGAAATTGTATAGTGTGTGTTTTTCTTCTGAAACTCGTCAGTCTATTCTTGTTCTGAGAAATGAAGGCTATTCCATGCAAGGAATTGCCAAGAAACAGAAGATCTCGTACAACGCTGTGTACTACAAGAATAGACTGACGAGTTTCAGAAGAAAGTTATTTGTTTCTGGCCATTTTGAGCCTGTAATCGAACCCACAATTGCTGATGCTCCAGATACTCAACTAGTCTCAAGAAGGCTAGTTTTATTACTTCTTTAATCAGCACAACAGTTTTCAGCTGTGCTAACATAATTGCAAAAGGGTTTTCTAATGATCAATTAGCCTTTTAAAATGATAAACTTGGATTAGCAAACACAACGTGCCATTGGAACACAGGACTGATGAGATGAGAATGGGCCTCTGTACGCCTATGTAGATATTCCATTACAAATCAGCCGTTTCCAGCTACAATAGCCATTTACAACATTAACAATTTCTACACTGTATTTCGGATCAATTTTATGTTATTTTAATGGACCAAAAAATTGCTTTTCTTTCGAAAACAAGGACATTTCTAAGTGATCCCAAACTTTTTAACGGTAGTGTATATACTTTGATTCCACAATTGATTTGCACACATTGTTCTTTGTTCCACCACTGCCAATAATTTATATTTAAGAGGCCTTTATTTTGCTTAACAACTGCAAATATTGAAATAATACAGCAATTGCTATATAGGAAGCAATATAGGTATGAAGACTGGGCAGCTTTATTTCCTTTCACCTGGGTACAATGTTTGCCATTTGATTTAAATAGTTGTGTAATTTCCCACAAAAAATGTGTGTACATTGTGTAGAATTATGTAAGTATGTACTGTAATTGTAGCCTATGCACTTTTTAAATCTATTAAGGTCCATTATGAAACAGGACAGAAATGATTTGTAATGTTAAAATAAATATATTTTATTATGAGCTTTGTGTGTTACTTTCTGTCATTTATGTTATTACAAAATACTTGTTATACTTAAACAACTGAAATGGAGCAACATACAGCTATGCCAAGATATTTGGTAAGTGGTTTTGTAAAAAATATTTTATTACATTTTACTTCCATAAACCTGGGTAACTTTTCAATACGACTTTAATCAAGTAATTATTTAAGGCCTATGAATCAAATGTAACTAATGTGCAAAAGTTAGCTAATGTGTAGCCTATTCTAAAACACGTTTAGTGCATTTCTCTGGACTAAAATGTTGTGGCGCTAAACCTGAAGTATTCTGCTTACAGGACGAGCAGAGTTTTGATTGTTGTTTGAGATTGCTCAGAAATGTACTTTGTGTAGTGTGGCTAGATGGTAGCTGTACTTTCCATGGTTATTGTGTATGTGTATAATTTATTAAATGTTATTTTGATTTTCAGTACAAGAAAAATGGTACTGTGTTTAGTAGCGTATTGTAAGCCGATGTGGGCTGGGTACCGGTAGGTGTATGACACTTAAATAAATCAGATCAATAAAAAAAAAAACACTTTACTTGTGTTGACTTAAAATGCTGCCCAATGAAGGCAATCCAATAGTGAGAATTAAATAATATTTTTGATAAAGAATGATAGATTTCTCCAATGGCTTCTTGGGGTTATTTCTCGGCACAAACTTCATCACACACACATACACACCACAAGCTCAAAGAGTGTTATACTACATTGTTACTACTCTTAACGGAGCGAAACTGCTTTGGTTTGTCTCAGAAATGCCCTCCTACTTAAACTCAAGCCTGAAGAGATCTGAGATATAGAACATTGTTGGCATCCACACCACAACACATACAGTACTGGACAGCTTATATCAGTCCAGTACTGCCTAGGCTTTGCCCCCTGTGCAGCTCTCCCTGCCTGTCCTGTGCGATGTCCTGTTCACCGTATTAGCCTCTGGTTGTCTGATGTAGCCATTGCCTGCATCCTAAATGGCTCCCTATACCCTATAATGCACTACGTTTGACCGGATCCCTATAGGGTGCCATTTTGGGTGCACATATTGTCTGTGGAGGCTTGGAGTGCTTCAGTCATCCTCTGGAATGGTGGGGACTATTAGCTATTGTTTCGTTTCTGTAATGGTATTATGTATTGTACTGTATGCCATGTTGTAGCCTACTGAGCCTCTTAATCAGGCATTGAAGAAGACTTGCTGTTAGATGTTTATGTCCTACACTAGGGATCATCAACTAGATTCAGCCAAGGGACCGGAACATAATTTCTAATAATTTGTAGACTGCAAATTGACCACAAGAAGCCCAAACAGATATTATATTTGACTAAAACATAATCATTTCAAATCTTGCTTAGATTTGTATGTGATCACATGCAGTGCTTTCAGAAAGTATTCCTACCCCTTGACTTGTTCCACATTTTGTTGTGTTACAGCCTGAATTCAGTCAGAATTTTCTCAGACATCTACAAACAATACCCCATAATGACAAAGTAAAAACATGTTTTTAGTAATTTTAGCACATTTATTGAAAATCAAATACAGAAATATCTCATTTACATAAGTATTCACACCCCTGAGTCAATACATGTTAGAATCACCTTTGGCAGCGATTACAGCTGTGAGTCTTTCTGGGTAAGTCTCTAAGAGCTTTGCACACCTGGATTGTACAATATTTGTACATAACATTCTTCAAACACTGTCAAGTTGGTTGTTGAACGGAGTTAAGAAGGACACCTGTATCTTTGTAGTGTCTGGGTATTTTGATACACCATCCAAAGTGTAAATAATAACTTCACCATGCTCAAAGGAATATTCAATGTCTGCTTTTTTGTTTTTTGTTTTTTACCCATCTACCAATAGGTGCCCTTCTTTGCGAGGCATTGGAAAACCTCCTTGGTCTTTGTGGTTGAATCTGTGTTTGTAACTCACTGCTCGACTGAGGGACCTTACAGATAATTCTATGTGTGGTGTACAGATATGAGGTAGTCATTCAAAAATCATGTTAAACATTATTACTGTGCACATCCATGCAACTTATTATGTGACTTAAGCACATTTTTACTCATCAACTTATTTAGGCTTGCCATAACAAAGGTGTTGAATACTTATTGACTCAAGACATTTCAGCTTTTCATTTTTAATTAATTTGTAAACATTTATACTTTCTACTTTGATATTATGGGGTATTGTGTGTATGCCAGTGACACAAAATCTCAATTTAATCCATTTTAAATTCAGGCTGTAACACAACAAAATGTGGAAAAACTCAAGGGGTGTGAATACTTTCTGAATGCACTTTATATCTCTCTATTATGTGTGGGAAAACTTTGGAACAGATTTTCAAAATAAAAATCACTTGGAGCTGATTTGCTGGTGTTTTTACAGTCTTTTATGCCCACAAATAAAATGTTTTTTGGGGGGAGGGCTCAGCAAACTTGGGGGGCCAGTTGAGGAACCCTGTCCTTAACTGTTCCCTGCTGGTGCATAACTGCTATCCTACACAACAAGTTCATTATGCAGAGATACAGCCTCTTCAATAATGAATGAAGAGGTAAATTGCACCTATTATCTAGTATGTTATCATGGAAATTTATTTCCACACACCTACCTATTTGCATACTGTACACACACGGTATTGAAAGCCAAGAACTCAATGCACTCAAATGTCTATAAATGTGCTGTTCTTTTTTTCAGTTACTGCCCATTCTGCAAACACTGCATTATATTAATAACAATGCTGTTGGAATGCTGTATAACCAGTGGCTCTAGTGAAAATATATTAGCCATAGTATAATACACATTACCATATTATAGCCTACTCATATCTTCTAGACTTGCATACACATAATGTGACAACCTGTGTTAACAAAACCAAAATTAACTAAGTGGAGGCTGACAAAATGACCACAGTGTACTTTATTAAATTAATTTTGGTACTTTGTGTTGCATTAGAATCAAATAAAAATTTACAAAATTCCAATATATACAAAAATGTCATGTTCTGTTTTAATTCTTCAATTTACAATAACATTTGTTTTGATCCGATTTAATGCAGTTTAAGCACTTCAGACTTTCATCACACAATGCAACTTACTTAAAGACCAATAATGAACAGTTTTTTTGTATTTTGCATTTTTGTCATTTAATACATCACATACACCACACTATTTTAATCTGTATTACATCATATGTAACTGCCATCTTGTGGCGGCGACCTCTAGTCAACAGACACCCTTCACAATCAGGACTTCGAGAGGAATGTTCTTTTAACATATACATTTGCATACATTTATTTACAGTTAGATAGTTTTGTTTTTCAATTACTATTGTGATCTTCCATTTGCAACTGAGACACTAAGGACATCTGTACATTATGCTTTAGAAGTCAAACAAAATGGAATGCCATTATTCCTATGTTCATTCGTTACTGTGCTTGTACTAATGTGCTATAGGCTACAGTAGGGGTGGAGTAGTATCATACAGTACATCACTGCTATTCGTCTACATTACTAGTATCTAATGTTGATGTATACCTCAGAACAAAACTCAACCACCAATCAAATCTCTCAA